TTATTTCAGAAACAATTTTTTTCTTTTTTTAAATCAGCAGTGGGGACAAGTGAGGGAATGACATATTGGTATATTTTAATTACCTAAAATAAATAAAAAATAAAAATTGATAATTTTATTTTTATTCTTTTGTTAGCTTGCATTCTGAAGGACACTTTCCCTGCATTTCTTTTTTCGTAAGCTGTAAAACAAACATAAAATATACTGGGGACATGAAAATGATGGTTTTTGTGAGAATGACCCTATATAAACACAAGTATATATATATATATATATATATATATATGTGGAATTTATGTTCACTTTATTTTGAACTAGAAAGAAAAAAAAATTTAAATTCCTTTAACTTCAGTTTTTTACTGTCTTTAAGCATGTGTTCCTCAGTCTAGATTTATTTTTTGTACTTTCTAGATTTATCTTTTGTATTTGTAATCTTAAAAAATAAATCATGTTCCCGGTAAGGAACTGGGTGTGGTCAGTCACAAAAGAATAGTGACTTATCCCTTAGACATTAAAACAAATATGATATAAGGTTTGTTTGTTTATTTCATATTTTCGTTATTTTTTTCTTTCATACAAATAAGGACAATGCTCTTATTTTCAACACAAACTAATAATAATGAGAGAGGGATGTTACATACTTTAGGAACAATATTTAATGTCCTTATAACTTACATTTGACGAAGAAAAAGAAAGGAAATAAAAAACAATTATATTCGAAGGCTCTTAGATATATAGGATTATTAATTCCGTATTAACTTTAAAAACTCAAAATTCTTTAGGGAATTTATTTCGTGAAAAATATCAAACCATAAGAATTGAAAAAAGCTTTATCAAAGTCTGCGACAATTTTTCCCTACTTACATTTTATCTTAATCTTATTAAAGTTATTAACTCGATTTGAAAGGTTTGGAAAAAAATAGATTTCTTGCTCTTTGAATTTTAAACGCAAAATAATGTTTTTAACTCAAGCTACATACTTCTGCACCAATAGGAAATGAACATTTATAAATAGTTGATTATATAAATTAAAGGTTTTCTCAAAAAATTAAACGATAGTTTTTTAAAATGTGTACTGAAATTTAAGTTTAAATATTGATATGGCAGTGATGCAATCTTCTTTAAAACAAGATTAAATGGCTTACGCTTTAAAACATATTTAGGTATAATATGTATTATAACAAAAAAATGACATTATTGTCTTTCAAATTAAAAAAATATTTTGCATAGCTCAACTAATAAAATAAAAAATAATAGAAACACCTATAAGGATAAGCAACATCAATGAGTCGGACAATAATAATTTATCATGAATGGAAAAATTTTGATTCTTTCTTTGCAATTTTTTTTGTGTTTGATAATAATAATTTTAAAATTTTACCAAGTTACAGGTGATTAATAATGGTTAATAGCTTCCAAAATATTGTTAGTTATAGTTAATGTGGAAATTTGGTAAATATCGATTAATATATTGAATGACATAGGACAATATTTTTTTGTTATTCATTTATTTTATTTGTTACCGTAATCATACTTTAAACAATATTTTCTATATGTATATTATCTGCAATTTGTCAACAAGATTACAGCTCCTGTTAAATAATCTCGCAAATTGCCTTATAAAAACGTGGTTTATTTTCAGGAAAATAAATCTGAAACGATATATAGAGGCTAGGGATCATTGTTTAGTATTGAAAATTTGCAAAATGGAAAAATTTCAACAGACCCTATTACTAAGGTTTCTAGACTTTGTGAGGCATTCCTAGAACAGTCTTAAAATTTGAAAAAAGAACAAGATGGATATTTATTATCAGCATTAGTATGAGATGAAAGGACAAATACGTTGTTTCACATTAGATAGGAACTTTATCGGCACTGAAGATCAACAAAGGAAGAATCAGTAGAAAAAGAAAAAAAATGTAAAGAATTTCCGAAATTAAATACATGTTATTGATAATGACGTAAGGTAATTCTATCAAAGCAAAATTAAAATTCGACTCACTTTGGGGAATCAGGGTTTTCTTGTTGATCTGGAAAATACTGACACTGTAATGACCCTTACAAAAATTCACAGGTGTTCTTGAGGTGTAGGCTGTTAGGTTAGGTTGTTTAAGGTTTATTTGAAGTTGACTTATTTACTCTTGAGGTTGTTATAAGATTGCTAGAAATCTATTTAGAGAAACCAGCTTACTACAAGAGAGAGCTTATTTTTTAGGTGCAGAGGCAATTTTTCTACACTATAAGCGAATAAGTATATCCGAGATGTCAATAATTCTCACCTGAAACTATTACTGAGTTATTATGAAGATGATTTTATAAGGTGTAAATAAGGTTGAAATTAAGGTATATTAATAATTTTACTTTTGTTGCAAAACATATAGTCTCATTTTCTACCTCAGGTGCTATTGTTTATGTGTCTATGAAACTTAAAAAACCCTTAAAAACACCTTACTTTTTGTAAGGGTATAGTTGTAAAATTGAATAAATAAAAGTTATAAATTTGCAAAACTGTTTTCCTACTGGTTACAACGCAATATGAAGAAAAATTACTCTAAACTAAATTCCTGCAAATTTAGAGAGAAAATTTCTGCAAAAAATATTCAAACACATTTGAGTTAAGTAAAAGACTTAGACGAGAAGGAATTATATTTCAAGAAATTTGATGAGCTATACAGCTCTGTATTTAAGCAAATTCGCGAATTAACATAGAGGCTAAAAGTTGAATCAAATTACTGTTGCAATTGACCGGACACTTAGGGAATTCTTTTAAATTTTTTCAAAAGAGCGAATCCCTCACACTGGTTTCATGTTTGTGCGTCAAATTTTCTGAAAATGCCAATATTTGTTTAAAAAAAAGTGCTCAAAGATTGTCTTCAAATGAGCTTCTTTTTCTATTAAAGCATGATATTCCCACAGTCATTATCAAAGATGCAATAGAGCGGACATTTTGTGATTTTTTTTCAAAATTTTTTTGAAGAGAGTGATTCTCTGTAAACTGGTCTCTTGTTAAAATATGTACGTCAAATTTTATGAGAAAACCCATTGTGATGCCACAATTGGCATTAGATATATATTTCTTAACCTTTTAAAATATCTTTTATACTTAAGCTTATTTTATTAATCGAAGTATA